ACAGCTAAATTAATATTATCTAGGGTTTTTTCGATCCATTAAGTGAGTGTCCCAGGGAAGACGATATTGAGTTGAGTTTTGATACCATGTTCATCAGAGATTCTCCAAAACATCTACTTACCGAAATAATAGTAGTCTTTTGTTAACTACTTCCTGTATCAATGTCTTATCTTATCTGATTATCTAGCAAGTACCTTATGCGGGTAAAGTAATCAAAATGGAATTTTAATGTTTGAGTATATAGCACCGGTAGCTCAGTCTCCATATACACCATATAGCTTGGCGTATACTCTGGCACGAAAAGTCCGCTTTATGCAGAATGTCTGTAATGTGGCCGCGGCCTGTTGTTTTATCACACCCCATGCTTGTGCTGCATCGTAATCATTATTAAAAGCAGCTATAAAGGTGCGTATTGCCGTATTTTACGTAATGGTGTACTCAGTGAATCTTTCTTATCTACAAGTAGAGTTAGACAAGGATGTGTTCTATGTCCACTTTTATTCATCACAGCCTTGGATGCTGTACTGGAAACTCCAATCATCGAATATATGAGCTAAGATTTGGGACAGCGTAACAAACTATGCGACCTTTTATATGCTGATGACCTGGTTTTTATATCTAAGCGTTACGCAGACGTGCAATCACAGATAACAATTATCGAATATAAATCCACAAAAGTTGGCCTCGTAATCAGTATTGACAAAACAAAATTCATGCGGACCAACGCTAATAATGTTGCTCAATTTACTATGGGTGAAGCCTCTGTACAAGAAATCACAGAGTTTGAACGCATTGGAAGTATTTTAACCACCAACGTTTGTGCTCTCAACGACGGTGTCAATCGGCGTCATAAGACTAGATGTGCGTTTGCCAGCCTAAAAAAAATTTGGATAACAAGGGGCTTACAACTAAAAACTAAAATAAAAATCTTTAACGCTTGTATTACAACCGTGCTGCTGTACGGTTCGGAAACACGGTTTGTAACAGTAGCCGTCACATACATGCTACAAACCCTTATCAATTGGTGCTTGAAACAAATTTCAAGAATTTGGTGACCTAGAATAATTAAAAACGAGCGACTGTGGGCTATAACAGAACTGAAGCCAATTGATAAACAAATTGTAAAAAGAAAGTATTGGTGATTGGGTTACTCAAACCCTTCAGCGAAATCGCACATGCTGCTCTAGAATGGAGTTCGCAAGGAAAAAGAAATTGTGGTCTTTCTTTCTTATATTTTATATTACGAACTCCTACATTAGTGTGTAATCTGTACTATTTGTATATTAATTTGAATAAACACCAATAAAGTCACTATACTCGTAAAATTAATATGCATTTTGTTAAGACACAAGGTGTCGGAAGTAGGTGCATGCGTATAGCGCGCTGTATTAATATGAGCAACATAAAACAGTAATTACTATATAAAACAATACGATTATAAACAACAGCATGATTAACAAATAACAAAAAATAAATACGGAAATTATACAAAAATTATAATTACGGCAACTCGCAGCGTATCAAAACAGTGTTAAACTATCGAAACCATTTCAAATATTAGGCAGCAATGTATCCATATCATGGAAAGAATGGTTGAAACAATATCAACGGTTTGCTATAAGGGCAGAGTTAAAGCCAAAAATATAAGTAAATCTGTGTGCCCAAACTTGCTTACATGTTAAAATAAAAATTTTCATTAACGCAATTTCAATGATATTTAGCACGTGTAATGAGAAATCAAATAAATTAATTATTTAAAACAATTCTTTTCAAAAGTAATGTGTATATTAATTTCAAATTTCAATTACCCTTAGGCAGAAATGAGGGAGTAATTTAATTTTAAAAGTAATTTAAAGTTGACAAAACTAGTGGCCAATCACTGTTGTCCGAGCATTGTTAGTGGCGATGTACTGAGGGCATGAGTTTATAACTACTAAGGTGAATATGGGCCCATGATGGTGACGGAACTCCAGTCTGACAATTGGGCGACTGGAGATCTGGACGCCAACACAAATGATAAAATTGGTCGTGATAAAATCACCTAGATCACTTTATTGTATTTACTTATCATGTCCAAAGTTTTTAGACTACTACAATTAAAAAAAAATTAATATATATATTAATAAGGATAACGCCTTCAATATTGTTTTAAATTATTTTTATTTGGGTTATTCTTACAATTTTAATTTTAAAAATTGAAATACAATAAGATGAATTAGAAAAGAATTTGTTAGTAATTATTTCCAAATAAGAAAAAAATTTATATTATTTACCAAAAGTATACAAATGTTATTTGAATTTAATATTATTATAATAAACTAATAAATTTTTTAGTATTACTTATCTTAAAAGATGTCATAAAATTTAATTTGTATAATTATTATATAAATTAATTAAATTTTGAATAATTCTCTGTAGCATAATTTACATACAATTCAGTGATTTAGTAATATATTATTCTAGTATCCGATCAATTTCAAGCATCGTTCTCGAAAATGCTATTCAACATTATTAAGTAATTTATTTCTGGATACATAGTCATAAGTATTTTAGAGTTTTCAGTAAAATCGCGATAAGAGATAATTTGTGTTAAATACTTTAATGAATCAAAATTGTTAACATTCTCTTTTATTTTTGGATATATTTTTCAGTACATTATTTTGATAATCATAATCGGAAATGCTTTAGTTAACCTATAATTATGTTTTCTTATACATATCTATATTTTTATTTATAACACACAAATTTAAGCTTTAGTTTAAAAATACAAGAGATAAAAATATATAAAAGTAATATAACAATAAAAGGACAAATATACATTTAAAATAAATTTATTAACGTATAACGTCTTTCAGATGTCGGAATTAATTAATAATAATATACATATAAGAAAAAGTCAATATTGTAAGTAGCATAATTTAACACGAAATTGATAACATTCGTTATCCATTTAAAATTAGCTATGAGCTCTGTTTTTATAACATTGCTGTCATTAATTTAAGTACATAAAGAACAAACATATAGTTCTGTGACATATTAAAAATGCTTTAGAATATTTGTTAAGAAGAATTTTTGGGTTAGTAAATAAATTATTAATAATCCAATAATTTTTATTTTCATTTCATTAATATCGTTTTGAAGTGCAGTGTTTCCATTTATTTTTATAAATTCAATTCAATTTTCAATTCAAATAAATTCTAAATTAGTGGGTTTAAGCTAGCTAAAAATCAATGGAACTAATTGTAATTACACAGAAGGATCACCGAAATTCACACGTTACATCCGATAGCTACTGTAATGTGCATGATCCTGTGGTTTTATATAGACATATATATGTACATATCGGTGTTTTAAAACTACAAACTTTATTCCTATT